GAATTTATCGAAAATCATTTACTTGAATTTATTTGGCGCAAGGTAAACAAGGATAGGCTTTGGGATGCATTCATTGACGCGTTATGTACAACAGCATATTTTGAACCAGATATCACAATGTGATTATCGAGTATATTAGTACATGCTATTCTATAGTTCATCCTAGAAAATACCTTTATATTAGTCACACCTCTTTACAATCACAGTTTTTTGTATCCTGAAGGTGTGACTATTGAGGGGTTTGACTGTATTACTACGCATGTTATTTATTTTTAAAAGAATGACTTAATCATAAAGAATATTTTTGTAATGTAGCGAAAGATACCAACGACAAAGAAGGTAAATTCTTATCGTATATATAAATAAACATATGTGTAAAATGGTATATAAATAAATAAATAAATTTTAATTAGGAATTAGCTAAATATGTTAATACAGGTTAGATATTATATTAATGCTAGCCAGATATTATGGTAATGCCGGCCAAATAATTATATTTCGGGATCATATTAAAAATCCCGCACATGATACGTGGGATCACATGCAGATCACACGCATGCCCATCTCTATGATATATAATCTAATTACACATACATACGTATATATATACCAGTGTTTTGAGTTAACCTATTTTTCAAACCCAAAATGTTTTGCCTAAAAAAATTTTAATTTTATTCTATAAGTCCGAAACACTCCAAAACTAACTTCGCCATAATTGATCTGCAAATTTACCTTTCACATGAAACACATAAATATATATACTTCTTATCACTTTCCATATAATTTATTAATTACCATTTTTAATAACTGATATGAACTAAAAAACAACACAAAACATATATATATCTAATATTCCTGATTTAGTGAATGCTGATCATACTGGTCCTGTACCGTGTCACACGCTGCACAGCTATCTAATAAATATCAACTTGTAAACTCAATGAATGACCCAATAATTAATGTAGAAAATGTGAAAATTGAGCAGATCGTTGTTGATTTGCTCGCAAATATTAATACAAAGGAAGATGCTTTAACATGGCTTAATGAATTTCAAAAATGTTCAAAAACTACAATGCGTTTAACACGCACTTATCCAGTTAAAGGAGATAAAGTTGTTTTTAGAGAGTTGCAATATTGCATCCATAGCAATTTAGTCAAACAAAAAAATAATCATCATGAAACAAAAAATCCAAATGGTCTGCGAAACAGGGATACTGGATATAAGGCAACTCTAAACCTTGAATGAAAAACCTAAAAAATTTGGTTTTGAGGATACTTACCTATTTGAAATAAACCTTCGGTTTATACATAATCATGTGCTCAACTCTGCAAGTTTATTGAGTTTTTGACCAGTTGGACTCAATGCTCAAAAACGTTATATTGAGTTATTTAATATGGGTTATTTAGCAGCAACTGCACAATATTTATATGAAGATGAATTACATTTATCTACATCTAATGATGATGAACTAGCTCGATTGCTAGCAGATCAGTCAATAAATCCTGATAGAACTTATGTAAAAAATCTTTATAATCAATTTCGTATTTCACAACTAGGGGATCGAAATAGAAAGGAGATGTTTGATTATATACAAGAGGCTATTACTTTTTATAACAATTCTGGTAAAAGAAAAGCTATACTTCAAACTTATAATTCATCTACATCTACTTCATTTATTCTATGTATTGTGACTAACTTAATGAAGTGAGTTCATGAAAAAATTCGTCAAGCTGGAGAGCTCTGTTATTTTGATGCATCCGCTGCTTTTGATCCACTTAACACCTCAATTACTCTTCTTTACACAAGTTGCTCAATTGG